AAGGAGGGAACAAAAGAGAAAGAGGAGAAAAAAGAGAAAGAGTAAGAGAGGAGAGAAAGAAAGAGAAAGAGAAAGAAAAAGAGACTTTTGACTTTTTATAAAGGTTTATTAAGGGGAAAAGACGGTAACAACCCAACAATATAATAAAACATTGCCCATGCAGGGACGCAGGTGTAATGGACAGAGCCTGGGGCTGTGGCTTGCAAGCTCTGCCCTAAAAAAACCAAAAGCAGCTAGTCCAACAGCAGTTTGCTCAGACCCATGGTGGTACCCCAGGAAAAGGCAAGCAGTATCACAGTGCAAGGAGTAAACAGATGCCCTCGACGCTGCAGAGTACCCCCTGAATGCCCCAGTGTGCCTGGAAGGCAGGTCCTGTCTACTGAGGACCACATGTTCAAAGTCCAGTGTCGGGTGCGCCCAGACCAAGAACTGAAAGAGTCTCAGGGCGTCATCAGAGCCAGCTCCAGCGAGGTGGTTCCTGTGGCTCTTGAGGATGGCCATCTTAGCCCAACCAAGCAAAAAGTTGCCCAAGCAGATGACACCCACCTCTGCTGCCCAGTATGGGTGAGAAAACAAATAGGTGGTCTTGGAGAGAAGGAGGAGAGAAAGAAATCATAAGAAAGGAAAAAGAAAGAAAAAAAGACTTGTTTGACTTTCTATAAATGTTTATTAAGGAGCAAAAGGGGGTAGCAATCCCACAACAAAAGACAAAAGACAGCCCATGCAGGGCCCCAGGTACGACAGACAGAGCCTGGGGCTGTGGCCCGCAGGGCCTGCCCTCACAGTTGAAAAACAAAAGCAGCTAGTACAACATCAGCCTGCTCAGACCCTTGTCGTACACTGGGAAGGGGTGAGCAGTGTCATGGTGTGAGAACTAAGTGGCTGCCCTCAATGCTGCAGAGCACCCCCTGGATGGCCCTGAATGCCTGGCGTGTGGGTCCTGTCTGCTGGAGGACTGACCGCATGTTCAAATTCCAATGTCAGGAGCGCTCAGACCAAGAACTGAAAAAGTCACAGGGCGTCATCAGAAACAGCCTCAGCAACCTGGTTCCTGCAGCTCTTGAGGATGGCCACCTCGACCTGACCAAGCAGAAAGTTGGCCAGGCAGATGACACCCCCCTCTGCCGCCCGGTATGGGAAAGAAATAGGTAGCCTCCAAGAGGTCTATGTCTAGTGCCTCAAACAAGGTGCTGAGGGCAGCAAAGAGCAGCAACAGCTAGGGGAACCTGCAGAAGGTGTGGAATAAATCCTCTTCTACCTCCCCTGGGCAAAAGGGACAGGCCGCTGATGCAGGTCCATGTGATGGACGAGAGTGCCGGTGGCCAGTATCCCATGCAGTAACCGCCACTGGAAGTTGCCAGTCGATTTGGTAATGGGTAGCTTATAAAGCGTGCACCACTCAGGGCAAGCTGGTGTGAGCACTGGTGCCACTGATTGTAGCTGCCATGTTGTGTCGGGGCGAGTGGCAAGGATGCAAGCGTGGTAGACATGAACCACCCAAGAGAGAAAAAGAAAGAAAGAGGAAGAGAGGGAGGGAGAAGAAGACTGATGGACAGAGGGAAATGGAGAGAGAGTGGGCGCACCCACATGATCGCCTTGTGTGCAAGAAACTTGAAGTGTAAAACAAATGAACATCCAAACTCTGCAACTCTACTGACTAGTGACTCTGCCTGTTCATGTCCTTTCACAGCAGTTGATGAAGCGAACAGTAGCCCATGAAAGCTTGCGCTCTCTCTCTGTATCTTATTTAGTTAGTCTATAAAGGTGCAACCCGACCTGCCTTCTGACTGGTTGCGGACTAATACGGCTAACTGTCTCTCTCTGCCTCATAGCCTGAGACCAGCAAGCATGCAGAGTCAGTGGGATACCGCCCTGTGTTGTCTTGCATCTTCAGATAACATTTCATCTTTGACATGCTTCTTGTGGAGCAGCCTGCTGTGTGAGAGTTGTGTTATTTAGTGCTGCCTTTTCCTGACTTGCCCATCATTAACTCCCTTGGCCCCATCCCAGTCTTGGTGACTTTTTCCATCAAGCATTTGGAGAGAGACTACAACTGAAAGCTTTTTGGTTAGTCATTTCCGCTCCGTGCGTAAGTCCACCTTCTTTTTGTCCACTCAAAGCAAATTAAGTATGCGGGCCTGAGTTATTTGGAATGACAGAGGGCATTTTTGTAAATTTTTTAATTGCAATTGTGCAGTTGCAGCTGTTGAAAGTAGGGTTTTGGGTCCTTTATTTATTGTCTCTTAATTATGCTTAATCGACTTTGCCCAGTTTACAAGTGTTTTTCTTGGTGTCATACAATTATCCCAGGATTATAAAGTCTAGCTGGATTCTTTCTGGCTTGTATGTCTTCATAAAGATTCTGCAATCAGAAGGATTCTGCAATCAGGATTAATTCTATTGATGTATACCAGCTTCTAATCCTACATATGTGTTGTCTCTGCACTGCTAACAAGAGTGAAAATCTTGTAAAAATTAGCAGCTTGGATTCTTAATATCCTTGGGAAGCAAATGTATTGAGCAAGTGTTTGGTGCTTTGCATGTTTATAACTGCATTTAAAGATATGGTAGACTACCTTTTGGAACCCAACCCTTAACTAGTATTCCTCACATGCTCTTAAACTTCCAGCAGTTTGTAGGCTGTAATTACATCAGCACATCTGTATCATATGCTGCGTTTGCATATTTTAATTAGAGTACTAATTCTGCATAAACCTGGCTCTAACAACATACTGTTTCATTGGAATAGTTAAGAAGCACAGTATTAGATGTTTCTTTCATGGAAAATTGACTAGAATAGTTACTATTCTGTAATAATTCTGTAATTATTATTACAGAAATAAATACTAGTCTGTAAATAAATATTCTTTAAATAAATACTATTCTGCAATAACTCTTAGTAGTATAGCTCTAGTGAAACAGTAGTTCTGTCAATCACTGTCCGCCATAGTTGGGGCGTTAGAGAAATATTTAATTATGATAAATCAAAGTTTGACGTTTTCCCTTTAGAATAGCTTCCTTTGAGTTGTTTTGCTGTAAAACATTCCCAGATTTGTATACATGCATTTATAATGTATACAATATATTTAAGGAATAAGATATAGCATAAGTTAAATGACACTCTGGTCCAGAAAATGCATGTAGGTGTGTTATTTGTTTTGTTTCGTTTTTCTTCTTTTTTAAGGTTTAAGTTTGACCCATTCAAATAGATTTGGTTATACAAACAAAGGGTTTCAAATTAGCAATGACTCAAAAACTACTGTAACCACTGAGCTTTTTCAAAATTATTGGTCTCTGTGGAGCTGTAAACGTGAGCACAAAGCAATAAGAATGAAATAAATCCATGAAAAAATGCTTAGTTTTTGTCCCAGCTGAGGCTTGAGAAAAGCTTCTTTTTGAGCTTAGATTTGGTACATGAGTGCGTGACAAGAAGTGGACTCCTGAGCTTTCGTCGTGTACTGCACAGTTAGTTTTTCCTCTGGATAAACAGTGTGTTATTCACAGCTCTAGTTGAGAAGCTGTATTATGATGCATTGTATTACATTATACTTAGTGTAGCTTTACTCATAATTTACTATTTTAGCTGTGTAGTAATTTATATGTGATTTGCACTAAAGCATTTTGTGCAAGGTGATTCTTTCATGTAATTAGAGTTTTGAAATCTGTCAAAGTAGTAGGTATACCATTTGGAGGAAATATGACCTATTCCACAGTAGTTGCTTGATAGACCATTGAAGCTGTAAAATGTGGATATTTTGGTCCTATTTACATTGCAAATCCTACTGCATGAGGGCACTGACCCACTTAACAGACCCTCTCTATACTTTTTATTGATCGTGTTCCCAAACTGTGCCAAAGTTTTGCAAAAGTCCAGGCTGCAGTGTGGTTGAGAAATGTACTTAAAACATATTTCAGACTTTTTATTGCAGTATGTTGGGAATAACCTGTTGGGGATAATCTGTTTTGTAAATGAGTCGCCCAGCATAAAATTCAGTGTGTGGATAGGACAGCCAATAAGCCCTAAATAAAATTATAATGCCACAGTGTAAGTTAGAAGAGAAGTTTGGAAGTGGGGCAAAAAAGTCTTAGTCATCAAACTCTTTCTCATGATTTATTTTTAAGGGTCAGAGGGGAGTTTTTACAGTCAGAGAATAAGATACACAGGAAAACCTCCCCTGCTGAGGTTTATCCCAATCCCGTGACCCCGGTGTATAAAGCCCGAGCTTTCCAGATATTCTCTTCTTACTCTTTCTTGCTTAGCTGCTCTTTTCCTTTTTTTGAGCACCTGAACAAAGAGAGATAAAGCTAAGCTTCAGTTAACCAAGGAGATATGCACACCAGTATTTTGCAGTTTTTGAGTTACTTTACCAGGTCCCAGTGGGAGCCAATGATGTTGGATACTGCGGTGAGAGGGAAGGATTTCAATTTAAAAATATAGCAGATAGGAATTCTAGGGAAGACTTTGCAGGCTCAGACGTCTGGAACAGCTGTTGATTCCCCAATGAAAAGACAAGGCTGTGCAACAAGATTTAGGAAGGTAGGAAGTGTGACCAGAGTATTAAATAAAAAGGCCATATGATACGAATGAGGTCCAAAACTCAACTTTTTGTTTATAATAAAGAAAATCCTGGTTGCAGGAAAAAAATGAACTTGTTCCACCACTTTCTTTACTTTTCCTCAGGAGAAAACACGGAATATAACCCAGGTAATAAATCTGTTTTATAGCTCACATGAGACAGGGTGGAGCCACTCCCATTATTTTCTTCCCAGAAATTGAAATGCACATGAGCTAACATGGGAGATTCTGGGATTTTTGTCCAACAGATGCACAGCTGGATTTTGCTTTCATTGTTTCTCTAAGCCTAATAATTTCTCATTTGATTGGCTGGTGGCTGACAAAGCTATCACTTTTGTAAGTTCCATACAATAGGTGTGATGTAGAAAAGATATTGTATCTAGCACATACAGCTGGTTCAGTTGGTCACAAATTTCTACCTCTACTTCAAAAACAGGCTTTCATTATCACAAATAGAGTTTGAATGATAGAAAAGTGATGATTGGAGAGCTGGGGACTGAGGAATTATACAAACAGATCAGTCCTGTGAATATTATGTTTTATTGCAGCTCACAAAGGAGCATGAATCTTTACAGATAATAAAAAGTCACGTTCCTATCTTAAAGTATTTAAAATTTCATGGCCCAGTACTGCTACCTGAAATAATGAGCTTATTTGTGGAATAAAGTACTACTCTATATGAGCAAGAGGAGAGAAAATGGAATTGTAAATTAAAACAGCAAGGATTAGTGGTAAAGGAAGGAAGACATAGGCAAAGGACAAGTGTTTTGTCACTTGAGGCATAATGGTTGCATATATTTTTAACTTACTAAAATGAGGCGATAGTATCAAAGTAAAAGCAAAGAGAAGGCCAATGCTGATAGACTGCCCCAAACAACTAAGTTGTGAAGGAGGATTTGTAGGAGATGAATGCAGTTGTATGCTATATGGGGTCAGTGAGGGTTCATCAGTTTTAAATGCACTGTGGGGAAAAAAAGAAGCATGGAGCTGCGTTTGGGGAAAGAAAACCAGTGTAAGCAATAAATGAGCTGAATTGGCTGAGCAGGGCCAAGTGGGAGAATAGGAGACATCTAGAAGAGATTTAGGCGTGGGCAAGGACTGCATGGGGCTTTGAAGGTAAAGATAAGGCATCTGAAATTAAAATTAGAAAGAGATAGAACCATTACAAGGCTGCCTCTGCCTGGAGCCAATTCCATATTTTATTTTCTAAAAATAAATAAAATATACATATAGGAGAATTATATTGTTCTATTACATATTGCATGTGATCAGGCAGTGCCAGATGACACAGGTGTGTCTGCCCTTACTTGCCATCCGGGTGCACAGGTGTTAGAATTGGTCCTCACTATTGTCCAGTGTGTAGCCATGATGACTTCTTTACCTGAATGTGAGCTGGGATGTAGGATGCTGTAGCTCAGTTCCAAATTGTCAGCTGTATTTATTACAAGTGCTCAGTCTTATATGTGCTTTTAATTATTGTGTTTGCAAATTTAAACACAAGTTGGCACATCTTTGTGTCCTCCCTTTCTTTCTGAACATTGCCGGACACTATCTCTGTCTCTTCTCAATCAGGGATTTGAAGATGCAGAAAGCAAATGAAGTGGAAACCCCTATAAGAAACTTGAAAGAATAAAGTAACTTGCTGCAACAGAGGCCTTAGAAAAAGTGACTTCTGCACAAGCCAAGGTCAGCTTTACAGTCTGTTTTGGTGGTACATGGATGGGGAGGGAGTGGTTCTGTAATTATCATGGTTTGGCAGAATATGCACATCCTGGTTTTTTGCCCTGTAGTTCTCTGAATAATGGCTCTCAATTCCATTCCTGCACCTGGAAGATTGTAACTAACTTAAACACTATAAATCCAAATATGGTCTGTGCAGGGAACGTGGCATAAATCGGCAAAAGTGTTGTTAGTTTTCCTTGAGACTGCTCCTGCGGTGATCTGTGCTAAGATTTATAATATCTTGCATGGGGACTTGCTATGGCTAGCTACATTTGTCTATGTACATTAAGGCTGTGTGAAGTTTTGGGTGTTGATTCGATTCAGAGGAGATTCGGCCCGAATGGGCAGCTGAATCTGAATCGAATCAGGAGACCAATAAAAAGGGTTGAATCGATTCAAAGCTCTCCTAATCGATTCAGAAAAGATTCTGAGAGCTTCAGAGACTTGAGCAATCCTTGCCGCAGGGAGATGGACTCAGACTCCATGCTGGTAAGTAGGAGGTGAGGAAGGGGACCATGGGGGGGACCCCTGCCAGGCCCCATCCCCTGCCTGCTCCGCCAGCTCCCCTAAGCACCCCCTGACCCCTGCCTGCTCTCCCAGCCACCTCCCTCCCCCTCCCACCATGGTTGCCCCGCCTGGCCCCAGCTCTTGGCTCTTAAAAAAATAATAATAAAGCCCCAATTCACTGGCTGCTGCCCAGAGGGAGTTGTGGGGGGGAACAATCCCCACTGCGCCATGCTGTGTGGGGGGGTGTGCCATAAGCCCCTGACCCCCGCCTGCTCTCCCAGCCCTCCCATGGCTGCCCCACCCACCCCAGCTCCTGGTTCTTTAAAAAAAACAAAAGCAAACCCCCTGCTGCACTCACTGGCTGCTGCAGTGGCCTCGGGGCTTCTGGGGGCTCATGGCACAGCCCCCCACACAGCATGAGACAGCGGGATCGCCCCTCCCACTTGGCAGGTCCTGGGGAGTGGGCCCTTTTTTTTTTAAAAAGAGCAGGGAGCTGGGGCGTTGACGTGTCTGGGAGAGCAGGCTGGCGATGGGGTCTGTCTGATTCAGATATTCGGCTGATTCGGCAGCTGCCAAATTGATTCGGGACAGTGATTCGAATCACTGTCCCCTGAATTGGCCGAATCCAAAGCAAATAGTAGCCGCTTTACACAGGCCTAAGGTACATATATGTAGTAGCTTGGGCTCTGCTGTGTTTAGGCTACCCAGAATGGAACTTTTGCAAAGGACCCATACAATTGTTTCTACAGAGGAGGTGAGACTTCAGAGTAGCCAGATCCCTGCCTCATTGCTCTCTGGCATACATCAATGTGCCTTGCCACCTAGAGTTGAGCTCATTACTCTGAGAAATTTGCAGTTCTTTAAGCCTGGCTCGTTCTGCCTCCTTGAACTTCAGTTGTCCTTTAATTTAGTCATTTACACAGTAAAATCTCCCACCTGTCCATAACAGTTTCACTATATTAAACTAGAAGAGTAAAGCTGGGGGTAGCTGGGAGCCTTTGAGACATTTGGTGCTTGTTTCTTTCCCACTTGTTTTTCTCATTGCATGTGCCACCCCCCACTTCAACAATTGAGGGTGTGGATTTCTTCCTTCTGTGTTTATGTAAGAAAAGCTTTTTATAGTCAGTCATTCCTGTTGGCATCTGTGCTTCCTTGATTGCAGTTGAACACATCATTTTCCCCCACTCCTTCTGTACAAGTGGAGCTAATGCAAGACCTTCATTTTTGTTTTGGTAGTAATTGTCATTAACCAAAAAAATGGTCACCATCATTCCAGCTTGCAAACATGCTGTTTGACTTCCTGGATTTTGTTTGCCAATTTCCAGTACCTGGAAACAAGGTGGCTAAGTAAACACACATAGTTTACAGGATGCTCAGAAGGTCCACAGACCAACCCTAAATTTGCTTAGCTGGCATTGTTGCTTGAAAGAGTAAAAGATTTATCAGAGGTGTGGGAGAATGCAGGGTGCATTGTAGATACCAAAGATGGCACATTGACTTGATGCCCTTCTGTTGGGGAGCTTCTGCTCGTTGTGGCTTTTCACCATCCCCTAACCTGTTCTGTGGCTGGGGACCACAGTTACACTACTTTTAGTTGATAAAGCACTTGTCTTTTTTCCCCTGACATCCCTTTTTTAAAAGCCTTTTCCAAAGAAAGTGGTGTGTGTAGCTGTGGGTGGTATTTTGGAATAGAAATGTGCTTTGTCCAGTAAAGAAATGCAAGGTTTTGAAGTGATTTCAACATTAATATACTAAGTCCCATTTCTCAATGTAATGTGTGCAGGCCGACCCTGGTGCCTGTGCAGAGCCCACTTATGAGATGAAGTTTCATATAAAGTAATTGCAGTGGTTCATTGCTTCAAGAGCTTTAATACCTCCGTGCCTTGCTAGTTCCCCAAGTGACAAGCTGTAATCCATAGAGCAGCTCATGGTCCTGACTGTCACGTCTTCTTTTCCAACCACCGGATCACACTGCCTTCCCCCATCCCCCAAATGTGCATGCTAGAGACACGGATAGTCTTATGGTCTGAGCAGGGGACTGGGCACTAGAATTCCCCGTTTCTAATCCCATTTCTCACACAGCTGGTTGTGAGGCCCTAGAGAGTCGTTTAACTTCTCCGGTACTGTTTCCTCATCCATAGCTGTTCCATCACTATGTATGTGAAATTGAGGCTGAATGGTTGGGGGTTTATACCTCATACATGTTGAGAGACTGCATGCCTTCAAAATGTAGTTAATTTTTTTAAAGTCTTCTGTACTTAAAACTGTTAGGAAAATCTCTGGTTTTAGACCTTCACCATCATAACTTGAAGTGTGATGTAAGCTCCACCTACCTGAAGTGTGTATTTTGAATGGCATTTTCTGTTCCATGCCAATGTTAGCCTTGGACTAGATCAGAGACACCCAACCCTCCAGTCCTGCAGGCTGGATGAATGGCACAGGTCAGTCTGCAGACTGGATTCCACGTGGGGTCAGTGTGTGGGGATGGTCCACAGGATGTGATCTGGCACACCAGCCCAACCCTGTGTGCCCAGATACAGCCATGTGCTGGCCTGAACCCATGCCTGGATTTGACTGCACTCTGGTATGATCTGGATCCAGCTGCATGCTCGTATGATCTGGTGCACAGGACCCTATTATCTGGCTCATGGGGCTCCTCGCAGGTCTGGAAATTTGGTAGCAGAGGAGCAGCAATTAACAATGCCACCAGATTTCCAGACCCTTGAGGGGCTCTGCAGGCCAAATGACATGTCTCTGTTGAACACCCCTGGATTTGATTGTTTCTTGCTCTCACCAGGGCCCAGTCAGGTAATAAACATGCCTTTATATGGCTATTTTAGATTCCTGTGGCTGTAAAATGATGGGGGGAAGGGGGGAGAAAGAAGGGATGACATAGGCTTAATGTGTAATGCTTCCCCATCACCTTCCTAAGCAAGCAGATACGATATTGTTTCCTTCCATGTTTTAGCCTGTGAGGATAGCGAGGCGTCAGTTTGGAGCCTAACTGGGCTGAGATGCCTTGCTGTCCTGCAGAACAGGATAGGAGGAGGGGCAGAATTGACTTTGAGTCATCATTTCTACCTGGTGCTCCTCCTGGGGTGGTGCAGCTACATGCCACCCCAGCCTCGGACTGAGCCTGAAGGCTCAATCTAGCCTTTTGCAAATGTTTGAGAGAATCGTATTTTCTGGTAATTACTTGATCATGATTCAGTGTTTTTCCTTATGTCTGGTCTTGTTGATAATTTTCCTGCTTTTAGATCTTCCATATAGTTGGGGGGCACACACCTTTGGGAATCAACAGGAATGTGGCTGCTGAATTCAGGAACCCTGAAGTGGGGCCCTGACACACGCAAGTATCATTGGGTCTGCTTCTGAGATGTACCGATGTCTTTGAAACCGCTGAGTTCATGGAGCATTGTGAATGCCAGCAGCAGTCAGAACCAGGGCCCTGATACAAGTAAGACTATGAACATTCCTGAGGATTCCCTGAAAACAGGGCTGTTAGAGAATCTGGGAGCTTAATTCCAGAAAAAAGTGTTGTGTAAACTGAATCAAAATTATTCAGTGCTGAATGGGTGTGGGAAGAATACCTGAGGTTCTAGTAAGTCATTAGTGGTATTTATTTGAGGCTGGTAATAATATTGAGCAGACATACCCCATGCAAAGCTCTCATGGGTTTTAAAAATGTAGCAGAACTAGCAAAATAGGTAAAGTTTAGCCAATGAAATGCAGTCAGGCTTTATGAAGATTACCTCGGCGGTTTCTTTTAGATGTAAACTATACCCTTAAAATCTACAAAGTACCCAGTTTACTTAAGGAGTTATTTTGCCAAACCATAAAAGTACCAAGAATTAAAGCAATAACTTTTTAGGAAATCTAAATATACAGGGTTTTATGAGAAAACTTTGTTTTCCAGATTTAAAAGTGTGCGATTCATATTTAATACTGGGTAGACCAAATTCATATTTCTATACAGGTTTAGAGTGGGCCATGTGCTTCATACAACTGATTGACTTCTCTGCTTTATCACAACACTGACTTTTTTTTTTAATTCAGAGAACAGCGCTCTCTCATCTTGTACACCTGTTTTTGAAATGTACCTCACATTACAGATGCAAAAATACACAGGGGGTCAGAATTCACTTCAATCAATAAAAGTTTAGAAGAACATTCTGCAACTGTAAACAAAGGCAGACCTCATCCCTGAAGAATTTATTGCAATAGCAGCTATAATACACTTGGCACAGAATTCTTCCTTGAACCCAGCACTTGCAGACTTTGCTAGAGCAACATATTGAAGACCTTGCAGGTCAAATTGTAATACAGTTTTAAACAAAATATATTATTTTTAAAATCTCATATGTTCTGAAAGCCTCTAAAATAGCTTCCATGTTAATATTTCAGGTCTGAGCCCTATTCTGCAAAGGTGCGGTAACATTTGAGTTCAATGGGACTACTCACAGGAGTAAAATTACTCATATGTAGGTGTGGTTGATAGGGTCCTTCCAAGAAATTTGTTTTTACCACTGAAGAAAGTGCAAAAGTACATTTCCTTAAAGGGTCCTCACAAACAACATTGGTGAGTAAATACAGTTTTGGAGCTAGTGCAAAGGTGGTTCACCAGCAATTTTTAAATGTTGGCCCTGTTTCTTTCTCAGTTGGGTTCCTGAGTCCATTTCTTAAGTGCTGTGACCCCATTTGGGGTTGTGGTCCCCTCTTGGGGAACTGCTGTTTTAGGTAAAAATGATAGGCTCAATCCTGTAATCCTATCTGGGAAGTGGGGGGTGGGGAGCACAAGAAAAGAGCAGGAGGCATGGCCCTGTACCCTAGTGATTTGCTTCTTCTGCAAGACCCATGCATGCTGTACCACTAAGAAAATGGTAGCAGGGTGATTTTTTTTTTCCCCTTTCCTTTGTCAGGTTTGTGCCTCTTGTTTTTTTTCTTCAGCCTATACTATACAGTCCTCTTTATATAATAATTTATTTTTTTTTACTTTTGCTTTTTACCAAAGCATTGAGTTATATGTTTATACTT